ATTTTTAAATTATACAAATAGATTAAAAAAAATCATGTCAGATGTGAACAGTTGCTGCACTACTGCTTTCAAGAGCAGTACAAAATTAACTGGGATAAAGAGCTGCATTAACATCCTGGTGTAAAACTAAAGGCTGTGATTCTAGGAATGGAAGCACAACATGAACAAAGCTGCTCTCTACAATGGGAATGCCATATCTATCACTATGTTGGGTAAACTCTGCTTCAAAAAGTTGTTTAGAGAAATATTAAATTAGCTTCATTTTGACCATGTCCACAAACGCTTCTTTTTAAATACTGACCGTAGTTGAGTGAATACTTGTTTTTAAGAAGGAGTTTTTGATAAGATTGTCTGTGAACTCAACCCTTAACAGAAAGTAACAAGGAGAAAAGAATTATCTGAATATCCCATTTGGGACTGAGTGCTTATCAGAGATATATGCTCCTGACCACAGGGAAGAGATAGGAGAGACTTGACATTGATGTTTATACTGTATTTTTGTCGAAGGCCTAAAAATGCTTCACTATATGCCTTCTAAAAATCCCGAGCACCAGAACAATGTGAAGAAACAAACACACACAATATATGCTTTCACTGATATGATTAGTAGTAATATATTGCATTCATACAGCAGCTTCACACCTTGTGGTGTTACATTCCGTTTCCTTTTCAAGCACACAAAGCATTGGATTGCTTTACTTACCAGTAGCAGTAGCAAGACAATATCAGGATTATCACATGCACAGGCTACATGCATTGATGTCCAGAAGTCCTCATCTTGATGATTTACATTTATTCCTCTGTCAATTAAAATTTCTGCAGCAAATGCATTATCATAGCGGGCACACTAGTAGAAAGAAGAGCAGATTAGGGATGGCGTTTTACTCAGCGTACAAATGAATTTATTACATACAATTTTTGCTTCATTTGACATTTAAATTGAGCAGATGATGCACTGTAGTTAAACTGCTGTGTTTGTAGGGGACAACAGCTGATGAATCTATAGAAATAGTTTTGGGGAGACTACAAGTTTCATGTGCATCATTCACAGAATCCCTTATTGCCTGTGAAAAACCACTATATGAAATCTGCTGAAATCTACGGTAAGGATGAGGCTTTCTTTCAGTTCAATATCATCATTCCAAATCAGTGCACAGGCATCAGTGCATGATGATCTCATCATGAGCAGTAGTATCTAAGTATATGTACACCCACACGTACGTATGTCCACATGTACATGAACTTCTGCCTTTTGTGCAGTTCATAGCAATAACACACACCTCTCCACACCCACTCCTATTTCCAATCCACAAACTATACTGATTCCTATTCAAGTCTCTCTGACAGAAAAATAGTCTGCACACTAAGGGTATGTTGGAGGTGGGGAGGTCTGCACACGTGTATTTGCATACTTTGTTTTGTTTTGATGAGAGTCACTAATTTTGGCAGAGAAGAAACTGGCTTACCCATTGTTTTGAGCTTGCTCTTCTGTCACATCTGTGACTTTTTATGGATGTGCTTACAGATAATACTTTAAAAGACAATCAGAGCATCCAAGTTAAGATCCTAACTCCGGCCTGACATACATGCTCAGTTAACTCTTTAGAGAAGGATTCTCTCTCTTTCTCCACTGGAGAGAGGCTACAGGACGACTAATTTTCTGTATTAGATACTTAGATGCTTTGAATATTATCTTTAATATATCTATGTCTCTTCCAATATTTAAAGCTGTGGAGTATTTCCCTGCCCCCAAAAGTACACATATACACTGAGAGTACAAATACAGTGAAATCTGTAGATAATTTGCAAGTGAGGGTTAAATAATTATGTTATGTCTGCATCACATGTGGAACCACACCATGGCATCCAGTTTGCTGATCTGTATTAATCTGGCATGGAAGCCAGGACACTGGAGGAAAAGGGGAAGAAGGAAAAGTGCTTAACTGGATTCCACTGTGAAGTCAAGACATAGCTGAGATACTCAACTAAATGTAGGAGCTGCATGTACTACTGTGATCATAAATATATATAACTGAGAAGATGAAAATTGAACTCTGAGGCCAAAAAGCAGACCTGTTTTAAATGATTTCCAAACACAACATACTGGCCGTTAAATTATAGAACATAAATTTAGTTCTGATATATATCTGACAGCTGTAGAAACAGTTATGTTGCATCAGTATCATTCACTGTTATCTGTACTATAACTTACACTGAGCTGTTCATGTTCAAATTTTAACAAATCAGAGATACAACATTTTAGAATACAGATCATTTAATCTCATACCAATCACATTTTCAAGGCATTGTTAAGCAAAAAATTTCTAGAAAGCTTCCATACAAAAGAAATTACAGATGTCACTGAGCCATTTTGTGTATTAATAACAGATATATAGCCTTTTGTGATTAGTTACCAGTTTGAAAACAGCCTAGATTTGTAGCAGCAATTTAACTGCCGCTGCTCACTGATGCTTAACGGATTTTCGTGAAGCAATTGGGCAATCTCAGTCCAAGTTTCAGGAGAAAATTGGCAGTCATATACTCTATTACTAGGGTGGGTTGGGTGATTGTCTGCATGAATTGATATGACACTACCCGCTTCCCACTGAATGAGGAACTCAGGCAAGTACTCTCTTTTTGGTACTTCTCCTCTCATGGAGTCCAATGGCTTCCCTGAGATTCAAGAGTATTGGGATACTGTCTACAGAGATAGCAACAGAATCTTTATGAAGTGTCACATTTGATTTTTTTTTTTTTTAGAAATACATCACATTGGGTTAAGTTAACAGAAATGGAAAAAGAAAAAGGAATTGCATCATGAATCAGATTTTAAGTAAGATGTGAAGATAAATGAATTTTCCATTCATTCTGGAATAAAAACATTTACTCCACAACTAGAAAGAATGAACACTGATCAGGCTCCCCTTTGAAGAAAGCAGCTTACATAGAATTATAGTAGTAAAAGTAGCAGTTAGAATGGATCTGAGTGCGCTTTAAAAATATGAAAAAGATGTATGGTAAATTACTATCGTGAGTTCTTGTAGAAAAATAAACGTGGTTTATCTGTTTCCCTGTATCATGACTCTCCTATCTGTACTGCTCCCAAATCAGGGTCAAATCCAAGTTTCACTGAAATCAGGTTTACCCCTATCTCCCAGCATTTTCCTGTAGATGAATTGTGAGTACTTACAAGTAACTGACCAAACTGAGGCAGTAGGTTACACACAGTTCTCTATTGCAAATTTCTAGCTGCAGAAGTTTTCCCTCCTTTTAAAGCATAAGTGTGCCTGTGAAGCAGCAGGCACCAATGGAGATACTGAATGTGACAGTGAATTGGGGCATAATGCAGAAGATCAAGAAACGTAAAAAGACACAGTTCAACTGCAGTTAAAAAGCATGCATCTGCTGAACTAGACAAAACAACCTAAAATCCCTGAAGATGGATCTTTCTTTCTTCTATTTTAAAATGCCAGTGAGACATATGTCACGTCAGCCACACTGATTATCTCCTAGGGCTTTCAGCACAGGATAAGATTTGGGATGCCTCAGTTTTGGGCATCAAAGATTAACAACTCGTATGGGCTGCATTTTTAGAGAGTGATTGAGCACCTTTGTAGCAGGCAAATAGTTGGAGGAGAGAAAAGAGAACTTAAATTTTCTCTGTTCCAACTCATTACTGCACCCTCCCCTTACCCAGGCCTCTATTTCCAAAGTCCTTGATAAACAGCATGGCCAGGGAGATGGAAAACAGATTAATTACACAAGGGAAACACTACATCTTGCAAGAGCATCACTGCAGGTGTGCCGGAGTCCAGTAATATTACAGGATCCTTTTTTTCATCAAGAAATCGCTCTATTTTGTGTACATACTGGGAGAAACTTAATCCAGCTGTTCTAAAATGAAAAACTCCTCCAGCAGACTTTTCACTGTGTCTGTTATGCCCTTGTATTTGTGAAGTCACATTTCTTTTAGCAGCATTATGCAACAAAGTTGGATCCAAGTATCTTAAAATAGTTTCACATTGAATAGAAAGCATGTCTGCAATTGAAGCATCACAGACCAAATTAAAGGTTCATTGGGAATGATAAATAAATTCCCATAAATTGGGAATTTATGATGAGTTTTGCCATTGGCTTCAGCAAAGCCCAAATTTTACCTCTGCAGTATTTCATTTCTGTTTGCCTGTCAGTCTTTCCTCCACACGCCCTAACACCTTGCTTCTCTTTTCATCATTGTATACAAACTGTTTTCCTTTTACCTTCCAACTACTTAATCTAAATTGCTATGCAAATAATAATAAACTAAATGCAGATAACTTGTTAAATATCAACATACAGAAAATTGGTGCAAGAAATTATGCACAAAACCAAAAGAAACGTTACATCATGGTGTTTTTCATATAGGATCTGTGAATCTCTGAACCACAGAATTCTATCTTCAGAATCAAGCAATACTTCCTTCGTTCTTTCTTACTGCACAGATAATTTATAAATAAAACCTTTAATTCTACTTTGTTAGTTACCATTCCTAAGACATGATTCACCCTTTCGTAAGCAATTTGAAAATGACCATTTATTTCACATGCATAGCTGGATGCAATCATCATCACCATGGAGGGCAGCGTAGATAAAAAATTATTGCTAAGCCTTTCTTTTTGTTAATATACCCAATCCGATACTCAGTATCCCACCATATTTATCCATAGTCACTAACACTAATCTTCAATCACTCTTACCAGATGGAGCAAAGAGCCTCCTGAGGAAACAAGTGTATGAGGGTCAGCACCATCCTTCAGTAGCCGCAGTACTGAAATACCAAGCAAAAGAGGAAAAAGAATTAAGGAGCAATATACCTAATTCTGAGCTGTTAATAGGCTGATTCTTCATCATCTTCATTAAGAGATTTAATAATACATACAAACCTCTCATGTCAGCATTTCCCATCTCATCTATTTTAATGGCTAAGCCCAAAAGCAAAGGACCTTTAATAATGATGTTAAATATGAACAGTATCAAGGACTTCTCAAACAGACAGATGAGCACATCAGTTCTGTACGTAGGAGAGGGGAGAGCTGGAGGAGAGACCCTGTCTCAAGGTCCCAATCACCTGATTAGTTTATCTGGGAGCAAAAATAATAGTCAACTGGTTTTATTTTACTTTGTAGAATTCCCATGAGATTTGTTGGCTTTTTCTGTAAATAATTGAAACTAGCATTCATAACTTATATCACTTGAAATTAATCATCATACCAAAGCTAAACAATCTGCACTCAACTTTTCCAGTGCACTGTCAGATCACTGACGCAGCATAATTCTTAAAATGATATTTGGAGTCAAACTCCACTCGCAGGTACATGTATCAAAACCCTCTGATATGAAAACAAGCTTATAAACACAAGCAAAACCACAACCCTTCATACTGGTGCTCACTCAAATGTGAAAATTCAGCACTTTTTCCCCCGTGGTCTTTATTGCCTTTATAAACTTTTCACTCAGAATCAAAGCATTGACCAACTCATGCTACCAGCATTCATTCCTGGAGCAGAATTGCACAGAAACAATGCCAGACATTATCAGGGGAATCCACACTGGCACTGCAACCCTGTCTTCACTAAACTGATATGAAGAACCCTTTTAAAAGGCCCCCCTCCAGGAGAATAACTGTCAATGTTTCCTGTGTAAGAACACAGCTGGTTCTGCATCCGCCATCTGCAAATCCTGGTTTTAATTCCTAGTTAAGGTTCCTGGACAGAGTTGTGCAAAGGTCTGCAAACAAATTGTAGATTTTGAGTACCCCAGAAATCTGTTCCACTGCAACATCTGTCCTACAGGAGGGCCATAAATTTGTCTCAAGGCTCTTCTAACTTATATGAATCTGTCAAGAGACTCATGTAACACCATATCCTCCATATCCATGCATATTTTGTATAGGAATAGAATATCTGGCAACTCCCATCTTCACTGTACATTTAAACTTCTTACAGCATTCAAACATTCAGCTGACCTATTTGAAAGGGGTCAATTTTGTTTTCAAATATTGTCAATTTACACAAGCCATGTTTTCTGAAAGTGTTGAATGATTTTTGACCAGGTGCCTTAGAAAAATTCAGTCTAAGAAAGAAAATTTGGCTAAATGTTTTCAAGTATGTAAAATTAAAGACTTAGCATCATCCTTACTAAATAGTTCACACACAGTAAACACTGGTATATTGGACAAATATTTGTAACAGTTATACAAATCCATTTAATGTTTTGTTCTTTTTTAAACTTTGAAAATCAAACATCAATCCAAACCATTGTATAAATTCATGATTTATTAATAGTCATACTTTATTTAATAGTTCCACGGTACTTATCTCTCCTCACCAAAGGTTTTGCTTCATTTAATTTACATAACTGTAAAAGACTTCTTCATTCTGGCAAATGCCGCTTCGAAAGTTAACTACTATTAGAAGTCACTGTTGTCCCCAGCATGTCTGCCAAAAGTAGAAGTGGAACATTAAGTAAGATGGAATAAATGAACCGTACAACAACTGCCAAGCAAGATGAAAAGCACTGAAGCAGAGCGGGAGGATGGAGAAATATTTAAAAATTTTCATAATCTCAGGAAAAATAGATGATGACAAAAAGCACAGTATTTCTTTCTGCCCTCCGATCCATAAATCCAATACTAAAGTACACAGTGGTCCACATCCAGACAGAGACCATTAAAAATAAAGGTGCAGAACTAAGTTCCTTCCTTCTTTTAGTACCTAAATTGCTGACCACATGTGAAGATGCTTCCTCTACATCAGGTTTTAGTGAGTAAAGACCTTACTGTAAATCCTCCCTCCTTAAATAGGTGTGCAGCTACATCCTCCTCAAGAGTTAGTATTTTCAACATTGCTATGTTATGCTATTTCTTTAGCAAGCCAGAAAATACAAATTCCATATAAAAGAAGATTTCTCAAGGCTCCGAAAATAATTTCATTCTGCCAATCCCATCAGGATTTCGCCTCAACAAACTCACTCCAAGTTGCTCCCCTTCCTCCATCCCTACTTTTCAGGGAAAAAGAATAAAATTACACCCATTTCGGTCTCTCAGCCACTTAATACAGTGTTTTTACGTATCATTCTTTCTTACGGACTCTGTGTGTAGGTTAAAAATGTGAACTATGGCTTGGTTCCACCTGCAATGATAGTCTTATTTGCAAATACAGGAATTAAGGCAGATAGTCCTTAAAAGCATGATTTGCAGGAATTACAAAACTGCCGTAATTCTGTGCTCAAGAAGGCTTTAACTGATGACAGTGGTGAGAGTACCTAACTCTGAAAATGCCATCTTTATGGTGTATTCTCACGCACTGCACTGCTGTCAGAAGGGGGAAGGCATGTTACCCACTGCAAGGCCCACTCTTCCCTCCTGCCAGCTCTCCTCACCTATGCAGCTGCACATTCAACTGGACCAGTAAGTCCAGTAAGCCTTCCCTGCCCCCCCCCCCCCCTTTCCTGGCAAGGTTAGTTTTTGGCCCCATCAATGTGACTGACTGCATAGCAACAGCACAGAGGATACAAATGCACACATGACACGGAGGCAGAGAAAGCACACTGCATTTTGGTGGCAGAAGTCTTATGTTGACTAAGGCTGATAATTAAATAACGTCCTTAGTCTGTGTTTCTACAAGATGGGATAAGCTGATTAAGGAGCCAACCACAAAGCTCTGTTCCCTTCCCCCATTTGCAAAAGGATTTGCACATCATTTACCTCTGGCTACTTCTGCATCCGGGAACTGACTGTAATAGCACAAAATAACCCCAGCAAAAATAAAATGCAGTTTCTTCTTGGGTCATTGAGATGAACTCAATCATTAAGAGTCTTGGGATCACCAAAACTGGCTTTTGGGTAGGTCCTTGTAAGCAAAGACAGAGGATGAACACCTCTCTCTTTTGGCAGGAGCAGGACACACAGGAAGGTCAGAGGGTTGGGAAACTGCATTTCTGAAAGTATTCCACAAGAATTTCATCTGGAGCCTAAAATAGTAACCAAGTGACAGAAAGAGCCTGTGACTGCTTGGATGTAGAAAATATGGACAATTTGTTGAGCCTCTTTGTTCCATCAAAGCCCCAAAGACTTGGTTCTTATAGAGAAGCTATGTAAAATTAAGTAATGCCTTTCCAGATCCATTTAGCAACACCTTGCTGTTGAAACAAAAAAAAATAAAGAAAAAAAAAAAATCACAGACCATTTTTAGAGGTGAGAATGAAATTCATAAGAATGAATGTTTTTGCCTTGCTCCCCTCCCCCCCCGAAATGCAGACCAAGATTACAGCATAAAGAATTAATAGATAAACTCTGATCTTGAAGTAGAATATTAAATAACTATGACCATAAACAAATTATCAAGTCACATACAAAGAAATAGAGTAAGTGGATAAAAGCTCAGTAGTTCTTTTCTTTGTCTGGTTTATTTTTCCTCATTACTGCATGTAGCTTGATCAGTGCTTTCGGAAATTTACATCACAAAGACTACCAGGGCAAGATATATAAACTCTCCTGTCATCTGGGCAGGAGTCTTTGTTCTGAATCAGGATTATGTGCTATATTCATCTGCATATAAAGACAAGCAAAAAACATTTCTCTTTCCTTGAATCCATCCCCCCTGCAAAACACACACACACAAAAAAAGAAAAGAAAGAAGATCACAGAAGCAAAATCCCCCTTCCTACCATGCAACTCGCTTAGGTCATTCACTTAAGACTTTACTAGTCAGTAGGAAAATCTTCACCATATGTTCATTTTTTCCCTGTTGACAGAACTACTCTAGTTACTGCTAGTAATTTGGGATGAATTGCCCTGAGGACAGAAAGTCATAGATAACTATATTGCAGAAGTGCTATCTCTTAATTCACGTAATTTTTAACGAAGTCTTCACAATACTTTCTTTTAAAACTTGTTTTATTTGTAATCTTTCACGGAAGAGAAGTCTCCAGAAAAGATGAGGAGACTGAAAAACAGGCTTTAAGGCAGGAAGCTGACATATACTTAAATAAAACCAAGAGTAGAATTTTCAGTAAACTCTCAAGCCCTTCTTTCCTGTGTGTGAACAGGTGCATCCATTCTCTGATGTCTTTTAGATTTGACATGCAAAATCATCAACTAGGAGTAGAATTTCACACCTCATTTCATATCCAAAGGTGTTTTAGAAAGCATGGAAGCTACAAAGTCTCAAGGTAGCCTTTTACATACCCCTGATGTTAAAATTGTAACTGAATTACTCTAGTGAGCTGAATAGCTTTCCACACTCCATTGGCTGCATTGGCTGGATTACTACTTATTACGTAGCCTTCTAATCCAGCAAAGGCACTATGGCCATGACTGTTACCAGCCACAGGTCTCGTACTAAATTTGCAAGTGGGACTAGGGCTGTAAGGTTTACTTTGTCTGGGCTTGTCTTGGCTTGACTGGAGCTTTAACTTTTTTAGCTGTTGCAGCATCTGGCTCATGACAAGGTGACAATTACCTAACATGTTTTAGTTTCATTCAGCTTTATGTAACTGTGCTGTGTAATGTGTTAAGAATTTTTATATATACAGCAATAACCAGTACTTATGCTCTGCTATGCTGAATAGTACCTACCTGCTCTGGCATGTAGAACTATCTTATGACCTCACATGCTGCAGACAAAAGTAGTAAAGATCTGAAGTGACAGCAGAGCCTAGAAGATGAATTCAGAGGTTCCAGAGCTATCAATAATTCACCAGTGATCAGCTACTGATGGTAATGCAAACTTAGGAGCTGGGCAATGTTGCATTCACAGCAAATCCAGT